TCACAATCGAATAGGAACAACCAATGTGACGTCACGTCATTGTGAAGCGGACGCAATTTACACCGTTTCAGAAAGTGCAAAATATCGGAAACAACTACGAAATATCGAAGAACTTGCTAGTTATTGTTATCAAACTTTGGTCTTTTTATTATCCGTGACGTCACACCTTTATTTGAAACTGGTATATTCCTCCAAGAATTTGTTCCAAACATCCTTTTGGCGATCATCATAGAAAGAACATTTCACATATTGAGGATATTTTGTAAAATTGATGGCAATGTGTTTCCTATTAAAGGGTAGGTCTGGGAAAGACCTATTGTTTGTGAGATACATGATGTAAAGTGTTTCTAGTTCACCTGAAACAAAACCGAGATATTCTATTTAAAATGGACAACATGATGAAATCTGCCGTTTAAATAAGAAAACACTTTGTCAAAATAATAAAAAGATGATTTTTGGATTTTAATCATGAAAATATTTAACTTTATCTTTTTATTTATAACTGTATAATATAAATTGTATAGATGTGTATTAACTTGATAAAAATGATATAAATCATGTTGACCTTGCTACGACTATAAGCCACCGCTGTGGGGGAAAACGTGTACATAGTAAAGAAGTACGTGAAACGAACGAGATATAACAAGCTGTAATGTCTTTATTTGATCAAATTTCTTTTTAATCGTTTGTAATGCTCTGTGTTTGCTGCTCATTCAAAAGCCTGAATTTCATTATTTGCATATAAGTACTTACGCTTTTCCATTTCTTCGAATTCTGCTGCATTTCTCTGTTTGATCAGATATGCGACAACTTTCATTTGATGCGACCGATGCGAGTCGGCTTCTGGACGCTGCCCTGGACGTCCGATATCCACTACATGGTTAGGAAGTGTTTGAAGTAACTGCTCTGTTGCGTCAATGAGGTTCCGTACAATCTCTTCATCTTGAGGTGTTTGCATAAACGTCAATTCAACTAAGAATTAGAAACATAGAATGCATTCATTTAACGCTTTCTAATTAGTGTTTCATGAATATGTATACACATCTTAAATACTTTAATATTATCAAACTTTAATATGTTTGATAATTATCCATCAATTCGAAACCAGGGAAAACGACAACTGTATTATGTATGTTCTACTGCCTTTTGAAGATGCATTTACTTATTCAAGATTGGAAGGAATTGCATCATCGTTCATTTAGGGGATAGTGCTTTGTTTTGAGTGGCTATACTGGCGATTAGAAATTGAAATTTGGATTTGAACTCGAGACCGATAGGTCGAGAGTATAAACAAAATGTCATGTTCTAATCGCAAAAGTATAGACACGAAAAACAACGTACTATCCCCATTCTAACACAC